TTAATGGCAGTAGCAGCCACAGCATCAGTTAACAGCCTTTGCCCCCTGGAAATCAGTGCTGTTGGCTTTTGAAAGTCACACAATTAATCCCGCTGCTAGAGTCAGTCTCAGGTGGCTATGAGAAGCCCTCAAAAGAATTCCAGCATAGGGTAGGAAATACTTCTTTAACCAACTGCTTTTTGCTTGGCAGCCTCCTGGAGGAGACAAGCCAACTGGGGGTGCTGCAGGAAGCAGGCAGGGTTCTCCCATCCTCCTCTTAGGAGTGCTTTATGGGGAAAAGAGAGTGGCTGGTAAAAGGGAGCATTGAAAAAAACAGTAGTTTAAGGTAGTCTCTTCCCCCCACACACTTCTGTGAGAATTGTGTACTCTCCTCTTCCCCCATCCCAATCTCTAGGGTAAAGAACCCTTAGGACTGGAGAGGGAGAAAAAAGGCTCTGCTGTAGCTATTCCTCAGCCCTCAGTGGAAGAGCCCTTGGAGCTGCAGGAGGTGCAGAAATCCACTGAGACGCAACAGGCAGATATGGGACTGGTGGAGGCCCCAGAATTAAATAAGATTTTGGAGTCTGGGTAGGCTGGAAGCTCCTCCCTGTTAGGGTATCAAGGAGATCACAGGACACAGAATCACCTTGTGTCATACCTTTGGGGGCACTGACATCAGCGTATGTGTCACAAACATTAGGGATGGGCAAGGGAAAAGGGAAAAATCAGTTGATTGAAAAGTTCAAGATCTTTATTTTCAAAAGTGTCTTACAATTGTCAGGGGTGGGGTTGCAATAATGGCTCCTGACCTTCAAACTCTTGGACTGAACAATACTGAAGAAGAAATAGGCTTAGGCTGGTTATGTTATTGGCAGCTCTTCAAGAGTAGCTTCCTTCGCTTCAGAGCCCAGGAGACTGACAGACTGAGGGCATTTTGCACCATCCTTTTGTTTACTTCATCCTGTACTGTAACTGACTTCTTTATTGCACTGTTATGAGCATGGGCAGGCAAAGGACTATGAGAAGGGAGACAATGCTCCAAGGTAGACTCATCTTAGCCACCTCACTTAACTCACAGAGGTTCCTGGAGCTTTACATTTCCCAGATAGAGCTGCATCTACATGAGATGCTGACTGTGCAGTGTCATGACCCAAAGGCATGATTTTGTGTGTGCTTTGGCACCAGAATTATCCCCGCCAAGTTGCAGCTTCATTGCACGGGAAAGTTTCCTGTTGCAGAGGAAAACCCCGGGGCAGGGACCAGTTTCCCGCCTTTTTTGCAGCTTCTTTTGCAGGGTGCATTGCTCAAGTTGCAAGAGGAATGCACGGTGCAAAAGAGTTCCCACCACTGGTATGTAAATTCGTTCCCCGCTATTGGCTAGTTTTAAATTATTCCCACGTGGCGGCTAGCGATTGGCCTGTTAGCCGTATAAGAGACTTGAGCAGTTTCCGCCCAAGCCGAAGAGGACTCCACATCCATCTCGTGGGGACTCTGAATACACGGCAGGGTAATAGAAACCCTGTGTGAGATTCAGAGGAGCGTGGCGACCTGATCCATCGCCCACCTCTTCCCGTCTTCGAGCGCAACTTTTATAAGATGTATCTACGATTCTCATTTTGGTGGCTCGTTCACCCAGAGCATCCGGAGCTCTGTTCCATGGAGCCTAGCAACCTCCACGAGACCGTCTGTGTTGTCTGTCTGTAACCGCAACTCAAGCAAGTTTTCCAGCCTACACCACTGCCATCTCGGTGTAAGTAAACAATCTTTTAAACTACCGCTAAGCGTTTGTGCCTAATTCCAGCTTGACGGCCTTCCCTCTCTGACCCGGCGTTCCCCGGCTGCTGGCCACAGCCCGCGTGCAGCACGGAAAAGGGCTCGGGTTGCTCCCGGCCCGCACATGCAGTTTTTACTGCACACTCATTTAGCACTTGCATACACAAGCACTAAATGACTGTGCAGTAACCAGTGTTACTGCACAGTAGCATCCCCACACAGCTTCTTGGTGATGCTCACTGCGCAGTAGCTCATTACTACGTTACATCATGCTTTGTGCCGCACAACACTACTTCACAGTAGTAACAAGCTACTGCTCAGTCAACATCTTGTGTAGATGTGGACCCTGCTGCAGAAATGGATCCAGCTGCATGGTCCCTTCATCCCTAGGAATGGGTTTACAGTAACAAATCTACCTGTACAAGGACCAGGCATGAAACATTATTTTCAGTGAAGATTTTCTTTTGTCTTCCCGGTTTCTTTCAAGTCAGGAGGGCAGGTGAGTATTATAGGGCCTGACAGCTGACTGTGAATGCAGGTGTAACCCTCCTGCAGCACCAGAGCCAAGTGCCATACCAGATTCAAGATCCTCAGGCTGTCAGTAGTTTTGGGCTCTGCCTCAGGCAGCCTGGCTGGCTGAGGTGTCCCATCAAAAAAAGTGTGTTCCTCACTCTCACCTTCCCAAGAATCCACTCCAGCCTATGTAACAGGGTTCTTTATTTTTTAGCTATAACTATTTACAGAAAAGAAAAGATTAATAACAAATATAATACACATATATGCATTACATAGGTACAATAACATACATTAAAACCCATAACCAAAATATTATCTATAAACCCAACATTAGTGAATAGTCCAGCCAACAAGTGATCCTACATACAACAGCCCTATCAATATATGTCCATTCACAGATTATAAACTCTAAACCTCAGTTCCACTAGGAATTCAGTTCACTCTAGTAAAAATAGGTGGCAACACTGCTGTTGCTATGAGTGGTCACCAGATGGCAGTGCGTGGCTCCTACAGGCATTTGACAAGTAGGTTGTGCAGTCCCAATGTTTCTTTCAAACAAAAACCTCTGTCCGGATGGCAGTTGGATGATTCCTTCCCTGTAAACAAACTTTTTATAAGCACTGCAAAGTTAAATGCATCCCCACATTCCCTTTCCTTGTGAAACTAGAGCTGCTTAATAGTGACTGCCTCCCTTTACCGGCAGGTCCCGTTATGCAGCCTAAACTCTCCCACGGCTCCAACGCAGCCGCAAGCACAGACTCCCTCTTCCCTTTTCCCAGGGCACCTGAGTCCTGAGTTTGCACAGCTCCTCTTCAAGATAGAGGACTCTGCTCATCAGTGAGCACCGCAGGCTGATCATCTTTCCTGGTGTGTTGGCTCTCTGAAGCACGTTTTCAGTCCCCTTCCTGGGTGGAGAGACTATCCCAAGCCTCTCCCTCAAGTTGGGAAATGACTCCTCCCCCCCTCTCTCTTTCCCACCAGCTGCTGTGTTTATATTCCGGATGCAGCCAACTAGACCCCTCTGTTGCACTGGCAATCCAATCAGCTGCATGCATAATTTTATGCTTCCACCTTTTCAGAGGTCCCGCGTGCAAGCCCTTTCCCACCCTTTCAGCAAAGGCTCTAGCATTGCTTTCTCTGCCTAGCTTGCTATCTCTGTAGTGCGGCAGCTGTTACCTAGGCAATGAAGGACAATAGTGCTGAAGCATCTTTGGCTAGGCTGAACCCCAGCGCTCATCTTCTGGGCTGAACCCCAGCGCTAAAGCAATCAAAAGAACACTTCAGACTCACAGGCTTTCTTTGAAAAGGCACTGGCCACCGCCAGTTCTGAAAATGGCTAGGCTTGCAAAATACAGACCTGGCTCAAGAATAGTTTGGATATTCTCAATCCATGCTTCCTCTGTGCATGTGAGGAAAGCATAACTTGCTCTGCCTGTGAAAAGGACTAAAATGGATTCCAGGTTGCAGCATAAAAGGACTTAGTCTTGGTCAAAGTTGCTGTTTTCCCTTGCCCAGAGAGTGCATGTGTTTTTCAGCAAACTCGGTTTACATGTTAGCTTTCATGAACTTTGATATCTGAAGCAAATTTCATACAACCAGCAAACAAGTGCTAATGCTGTGTAGTAATAAAATGTATTTTCTCCCCTTCCACATGTAGATGGATTTTGTTTGTGAGTAGTAAAACACACAAAATGGACTTTAATTTTCTAGCAGTGTAAAGGTATCTTCTCATCCTAGATCAGGGGCAGTCAAAATACGGCCTACAGGCTGGATTTGGCCTGCCAGGCAATTTCATCCGGCCTGTGGGTGCCCACAACTAATTGTACCCCACCCAGCCCTTCCGCCCATGAGGGTGGGAGCAAGGTGCCCATGTATTCATATGCCCTATTGCACCTCACTCCCACTCTTGTGGGCTGAAGGGCCTGGCAGGCCAGCCCACAACTTCCGGGTGGGGCTGCGGCTGCTGCTACTGGGGGACCTGCTCTGCTTCCCCGGTGTCCTGCTTGCTCCGGGCAGCAGGTAGGGAAGCAGTGGGGGGAGGGGGAGCTGTGGCAGGGTGGCAGCAGGAAAAGTGGGGCTGGTGGCAGCGTGGAGTCGGCGTTCGGGGGGCAGTGGGAGCATGAAGTTTGGGTGGGCAGGGTGTGGGTGTGAGGGATCATGGCGGGATGTGGGGACCCCCTCACATCCTCCCCCCCATCATGATGCAGAACCCCGACAGGTTGAACAAATGTTAGTTAAAGCACCCTGCCACCATTTTGAAGTGCAGGAAT